CCTCCTCCTCCTCCTCCTCCTCCTCCTCCTCCTCCTCCTCCTCCTCCTCCTCCTCCTCTCATCCCTCTTTCGGTCTTCCGTCTCAGACCTGGTCCCCCCTCCTCCGGAGGCCACTCCGGGCCTCTGGGGGTCTCCAGAGGTCTCCAAGGACCTCGGGTGGCCCTGGTCTGGCGCCTGCCAAAACTTCCTCCAGACCATACCCTGGATCGTCGAACCTCCTCCTCTTCCTCCGCCCCTCCTCCTCTTTTCCTTCTCCGCCTCGCCAAGACGCAACGAGCACCGCGTTCGGAGCAGGTGCGCTGAGCGCAGGGCCCCGCAGTCTGATCTGCAGCTGCGTGTCCGAGGGAACGAGGCAGTACCTCGGTCACGCGGGGGACAAGCGCAGGACAGGGGAGCCCGAACTGGAGGAGATGCCATCGCGATGGGACCCTGCAACAACAATTTCCAAACATCGTTCCATCGCGCTGGGCCGTGTCCATAACGGGTGGTGGAGCATGGCGAACAAATCCTCGCAGATGTCCGTCTCGATCGAGATGTGGCGATTGAAATTTGAAAAGCAACCGATCTTCAAATGGGAGGGTGTGGACAGGTCTGTTGACGAGGTTCGATTCGTCAAATCTGCCATGTAAGCGGGTCACAAGGCAATGATGTCCGATCAGTGTCGACTTCCGTTTGCATCAGCTGCTCGGCTCTTCCGCCCTAGGCGCGTTTCCTGTCACGCGAGTTTGGAAGGGCGTCCGTGTCAGCCAAGAGATCCAGCTGTAAGGACCACGATGTCAACTCGAGCTGACGCCATCAATGTCCCCTGTTTCTCCTCAGAAAAAGTTTCAGAGTGGCGAGGACGATGTTCTGTATATTTACATCTATGCACTCATATGGTATTTGTAGAATGGTGGCACGAGTGTGCAGGAGAAGGGGCGGGTGGATGTGCAAGATGATGAGGAGAGGAAACGGAGGAGGAGGAGGAGGGTATGCAGAATGAGGAGGGGGAGGAGAAGCAAGGACACAGGGGGGTCAGCAAGGAAATAGGGGGATAAAGAGAAGCAGGGAGCCTGCTCGCAGAAGTTCGCGCGAGCCAAGCAAGTTAGGGGCTTCGGTGCCTGGAGGGATGATGAGGAGAAGGATGCGGTGATGGAGGATGTGGAGGTGGAAGAAGATAACCAGGACGGAGGATTTTCCAGCTGGCCAAAAACAAAGCTCTACACATCATGTAGTTCACAAGTTAACGGTGGCTTCTGCAGACTGGAGGGAGGAAGGGATGGCTGAAGATAATGAGGAGGACAACACGTCAGGGCGAGGCAGAAGGTGGAAGAGGATAATTAGGCAGATGAGGCAAGGGAGGCGGAGGTGGAGGAGAGGGGCAGGACGGTAGGAGGGGTGGGAAGCCAGAGGATGAGAAGGAAGAAGAGGAGAACGAGGGAAAGAGGGCGGGGATGAATAGATGAAGGAGGAAAACGAGAGATTGTAGGTGGAAGAGGCGGAGGAGGCTGTATAAGTGCGGGGCATGTCCGAGTCAACGCCGTCCTCGAAGTTCGAGTCGGAATCGGACGGATGTCTTCCTGAGGGCTGCTGTCCCCCTCGTTCCTCCCTCCTATTGCTCTTTCCCTCCTCATCCTCCTTGCTGTCTCATCTTACTTCCCTCTTTTTCCTCCAACATCGTGTCTCCTGCATTCCGTCATCACTTCTTCCGCATTCGCAACTCGTCTAGTCACACCTCGCTGTCTGTCGCCCAGCTCTGCAACGGGATGTAGTACCAAGTCCTCCTTGCTGTCCCAGCCGCTGGGGCTTCTCCAATGGACGCGTGTGCCGATCACGACGATCGTCGCTGGATGCCTACGTTCCTTCGCAGGACCCCTGCCAGCCTTGAGAAAGAACCAACCATCTAATCACAAACCCCGTTTTGGGCAACGAATGCGACCGCGTTTTGCTTTGCTTGGTGTTTCCCATCGCTGGGCGCTGATTCCGGGCGGCGCGCCCACCATTCGCACAGACCTTTCGGAACTCGCCTGCAACGCCATTCCTTGCTCTGGCACGGCAATCCGCCTTCCTGTGCGCTTGAAGGGCATCGACTTCAGAGTTGTGCTCGACGACGCTGGGGGCCCCACCGCGCTTTTCCGCCCAGCAGAGGCCAGCGACAACATGCCTCGCGCAGCGACCTCTGAGCATCTCGAGAATTGCGAGGGCCAGCGCCTGCAAAGCCTGGCCCTGAACATCGGAATCTGGCATGACGACTGCTGTTGGAGACGCTCCGGGCGCCCTTGAGCGCGCGAGCATGGCGAGGGGCACGTCGCCAGGTTCACCAAGGCAGTGCCTGGGGGGACACATTGAAGACGTGGTGCGCCGCGCCGCCAGTGGGCAAGCCCTTAATGCACGTCATGCCTTTTATCGCGACGCCTTTGTTCAGTGCTGGCGGGGGGTAGCACACCGCCGCAGAGCAAGTCGAATTACGAACACTTCGCCGCAAGGATCACGAACACGAGGAACGGTCTTGTTCGCAGCTCCTTCGTTGTGTCAGCCTGTCGCGGCTGGTTGAGGTGAGAGGGGCTGGGGCTTCCAGATTTGTAATTTGAATCGTCATTGAAACATTGAAACGCAATGCTATCTGCCCAACGCCCGACCGTGACAAATCGCCAATTCCCAGTACATGATGTAGGGGACACGCAACACGGCTGTCGTCGAATTTCTCTCTCTCTCTCTCTGACTCTCTCTGTCTCTCTTTCTTATCTCTCTCTCTCTATATATATGTATATCTCTTCCTCCTCCTCCTCCTCCTCCTCCTCCTCGAAACCCTGAACCCGAAGAAACTCTCACCTCTTTGGGGGGCATTTTTTACTTCCGCCGACCTCCGCCGGCCTTCTGCCGCCTTCCCGCCGGCGGATGCGGCCTCGCTGTACTTCTCTTGTTTCAGAGCACTGCGCCCAATGCACCTTCTAGGCGGCGAGCCAGGGGGGGAAGTGAGAAGGGGCGGGCCTTCTCAGAAGGCTCGGAAGTCCCCCCGACCTTCAGGACGGACGCATCGCGAGGGGCCTGGGTTAGAAGTCCACCGACGTACGGCGCACGACGTGGCTACTCACACCGAGAGTGGTGGCCCTCTGAGGCTATGCGATGGGGCTGGCAGAGCTGCCTCAAGTCGGGGACCTTCTGACCCGGGTCAATCCAGACCCAGGTCAGCAGGAAACCAAAAAACTGCCATGCAGGGAAGCAAAAATCTGCAACGCAGGTCTTCGCAAACCCGGGTCAGCCAATATGCGCGGCCGCCTCGCGGCCACGAGCGGCTCGCTGACCCGGGTCAGCCAGAAGGGGTCTTCGCAGGATCCTGCAGGATCCGGTGCCCTGACTGACCCCCGTTTGCATTGATCCCCGTCTCGAGACTCCCGATCAAGGCGCTTGCCCTGCGGACCCCCCGGTCCTGCCCCGACAAGCGCTCCCGCCCCTGCGGAGGCGGCACTGCAGGAGAGGCGCCCGCGGCTTCCCTCCTTCCGGGGTGTGGGCGTCCATCCAGCGAAGCCAGGAAGCAGCGCGATGTGCGATTCGCCAGCGCCGACGGGCGAGGGCGACGGAAGAACCTTGTCCCGGCCGCGCGGCCGACAACGAAACTAACCTACCCAACTTTGGCTGGTCGGCGGAGCTCGGGGCATCCCTGGAGCTGCCCCCGAAGGCCCGCGAGGCCACTGCAAACGGTCTGTCCTTCACGACCGTGGATGTAAAAAATTAACGCGAAACCAAATCATAACGTTGGAATTCCGCCTTCCTGAAAAAATTAATGCAGTCTGGGCAAGGACAGCACGGGGCTCAAAAACATGCACTTGTGATTCGCGTTTATGTGTTACATGTCCGGCGGCGGCCGCCGATCGCGCCCAGCTTGGAACCCGCGGACCTTGAATGGCGAAAGTCCAGCGTTACGAATCAGTTTCACGTTAATTGTTTCCATCCACGGTACCATCAGAAGTACGTAGCGAAAGATGCCGTGAGCCAGCGCTCTCCCAAGGCGCAGCAACTTGTTGCAACGCAGGTGCTGCTGAAGAGCCATAGCTCAGCCGATAACAAGGATCCTGATGTTGCAACGAACCCCGACCTTGAAATGTAGGCGGGGATGGTTTATGAGAGTGGCAGGGGCAAGGAAGGATCTGCTTCCTGGGGGTTTGATTTGACGACGGGGAAGCGTTCCGACGAAGAAATATGCGTGAGTCATGTTGTTCCTGGGAGCTTTTTGTAGTGTCTTGGAAGCTCGTATGCTCTGTGGGGGACCCGTTGGGGTTCCAGGCGCCTCGCGGGATGTGAGTCCGGGGCGCGCAAGAATTTGCGCGTGGTAGATTTTCGCTGGGTCCTCTGAGGCGCACCGGAGAAATTTTTCGAGTGCATTCCGGGGCCTCTTGTGGGCATCTGTGGGTCTTCTCGGGGCCTCTTCAAAGCTCCTGGGCCGTCTCTGGGTTCCCTCCCGCCGTCCGGCACCCTCGGAGGCTGTGCTGGTGGTGGTTCTAGGTTGTCTTCGGGCCCTCGGGGGGGCCTTCTACTCGGTGGGGGCTTCGTCGGCCGTGTTTGGGCAGACTTGTAGGGCTGATGGGTACTGCGGTTCTGTTGGGCCGTCTTGGCACCCTTTAAACGGGCAGGACGGCCCAATGAGTTTCGCGTGTTGTCCGCTTCCCGCTGGAAGCTTGCTCGGGGCTTCCTGAGGAGGTGCAGGACACAGTGGGAGGAGAAGGACCGAGACAGCTCGGAAGCAATGCTATGGAGAAGGGTCGAAACACGAGGGAGAAAGGGGCATAAGGATAGGCAGAGGAGAGGGCAGTGGAGTTTCCATTAAGAGAGCGACGACGGCGACGGCGACTTCGACGATGTCTTCTTGGGGCTTCTTGAAGGCTTCTTGAGCCGTTGTGGGAATCTCTCGGGGGCGAAGAGGAGGGAGGAAGGAGAAAGGAGGGGAGACGGGGGGAGGAAGGGCGTTGGGAGGAGGCTGGCGGTAGGGACGGCGATGAAGACCTCGAGCATGGAAGCGGGTGGCGTGGATGCCTGGACAGCTCGCCGCTTGGGCCCCACCGCCGGCCGACACCGCGTGCGAGCGCACTCGGTTGGTTCCCGCGTGGTCCCTTGGACGCTGTGACGCGTTGTCGTGGCGTCTCCAGACATCCTGGAGCCCTCGTGGGCAGTCTTGAAGCCCTCTTGGGGGGGGCTCACGAGGCTTCCTGGAGACCTCTTTGGGGCTCCTTGGGACCTCTTGGGGGCCTCCTGGGGGCCTCCTGGGGCCTCCTGGGGCCTCCTGGGGGCGGAAGCTCGACATCTCTGGTGCCCTTATTGGGTTTTCTTCTAAAAGGACAAAGCGTCATAACTCATTCCATGGTCGAGTGGTCAAGAGCAAGCGCAGGCCAGTTATGCAGTTTCAGCTATGCCGTCAGAAGGTCGTCCAGATACGATCGTTTAGGATCGCCGTCGTCGTCGTGCCTGCCTGCAACCAAAGAGAGAAGCATCCCCACCACCTCCAAGGACGGCAAGCTCCGCCTCAATGCCGTTGCCTTTGAAGCTCCCAGTGCCTGCAATACCTCTGATAGTAAACTGAGTATCGCACACCATGAGGTGAAACGCGCCGCTTGGCAACGCCACTGCTTGAGTTTGACTCCTGTTTCTGTTGGATGATAATATTTGGCCTTGAAGTCGGTCGATACGGTTTGATCCAGATGCACGTGGCACCGCAACCCGCGTTCTGTCCTTTCCCTAAAAGAAGCCGCTGCAACCTTTGAACTCGTGACGCTGCTTGAGCGCATCTAGTGTAACATTGGACGGCCAGTGTTCGAAATGCTCGACCCAATCCTGCCCGCCAAGGCCTGTACCCTCAAATCTGTGCCATGCCCCTTGGCTCTAGCTTCCGGGAATGATGGGTGGCTTTTACAGCTGGAGCAGCCTGTTGACGGCCACGTTGGCTCAACATAGGAGCTCAGGCGTGGATAAGCCTATGTCAACGTGCCCATCTGAACCCACCGCGAAATCAATACTGCATGGCCACGTGGCTTGAACACAATGGCTGCGCATACCCAGAAACCGTTTTTTCATCGCAGAAAACAGTTTCACACTCCTTGGGCCTGGAAGCGGCGTCCTGACCGAAAAAACGGAAGCACAGCTCCATCTTGATTAATCTGAAACGTTGCAAGTGTGGGACCATCGCCCAGCGCCCACAGACATGGCCGGGGCCACGACTGAGATCCTCCTCCACCTCCCCAGCCTGTGTGCTCCTTCCTCCTCATCCCCCTCCCTTCCAGATAATTCCTCTAATTTCTCCCCATCCCCTTTTTCATTCCCCTCCTCATCCCCCTCCTTCCTTCGTTTTCTCTGCACCCCCGTCCCTTCCAGATAACTCCTCCCAGACGCACCACGTTTCGTTCGGGCGAGCTGGGCGTCTCGCCGGGACCCGCTCTCACACTCGAAAACAAGATTTTCCAGCAATGGCACGGATGGAGCATGGGTGGTTTTCAAAACAGGGCTATCGCCTTGGCTTCGTGGGCACCCGCACAAACCATAGAGCAATTACACGCATGGGGTGCGGTGTGTTTTCAACATGGGGCTCTCGCCTTGGCACCGCGCACGCTCGTCTTGAACATGTCCAACAGTTACACGGATGGAGGGCGGTTCGTTTTCAAAATAGGGCTCCCGCTTGGCTCCCAAACACTTCCTTGTGAAACGAATGCGCGGGTAGAGGGTGGCTCCTTTGCAAAATAAGGTTCTCGCCTGAAGCCCCGTCAATCTTCGCAACACTACAGTAACTCGAGGAGGAGGAGGAGGAGGAGGAGGAGGAGGAGGAGGAGGAGGGGGAGGATGAGGAGGAGGAGGAGGGGGAGGGGGACGAGGAGGAGCGCAGACCCATTCCCACACGGAGCTCTCACTGGACACTCCCCCGAACTTGGTGGCCCTGCCTCCCTGCACACCTCTTAGCGCCAACACGTCGCGGAGTCGGGACGCGGGGCCTCGCCGGGACGGCAGGCCCACAAAAAGGGGGTTTCGTCCGTCCACGGGGGTGCTTCCCGCAAGGGGCAACAGCATGCGCAGGGACTTGGGAGAAGGGGGATCTCTCGGGCTGGGCGAAAGGGGGGGATAGCCAAGGGGGGGGGTGAGAATCAGCTCACGTAGCTGATTTTCCCAGCGCCTCCCGGCGCCAGAGGCGGCCATGTGTTGAGGAATGGGCCCCTCGGTGGGGACGAAGCCAGCTGCATGCAGCAGATTTCGTACCCCCCCCCTTTCCCTTTCCCCCCCTTTCGTCCGGCCCGAATCTCTGGGGCGGGCGTGCTGCAGTGCACGCAGGCGTATCGGCTGACGGACGGATGCGCCCTGCTGCAGCACGCCCGAGGCGGAGGAAAAGCCCGCTACCACAGGCGACGGATGAGGTGGCCCGAGACGTGGGCCACATGGCGACACGTAGTACGACGGCTCGGGGCGCTGGATGAGGCTGAGCTGGGCGACCTGATGCGTGATGTCGACAGGTGCGCGGATCGCGCGGCTACCCCTGCTTCATACTGCAGGTGCCAAGCATAGGTGGGATACTCCAGATCAAGCTGGATCGACTTGTCACTGATCTTCTTAGGTATGTCGGGTGTCATGGTTGAGCTCAGCTTAGCCGGTAGTGGTGCCCTGGCTGTTGCAGAGTACCACTTATAGATCATCATGTATGCGCTCAGTCCTTCCTTCTTTAAGACCATGCGGCTTGCCCCGTGCCTTCATGTTCTCCAGCTTTTCGGTTCGGATTTACTAACTGGGTGTTCGTCCAGCTTGTAGGATTCATCCTCGTCCAACGCGTATTCGCCATCGCGTGCGTCTTCTTCCCATTTCTTCTCTGGCGATGCCTTGTTGCACTCCGCTGCTGCTTTCCCCCGCTCAACATTCTTCTTATTTATCACCTTCCTCACTGACGTCTGGCACAGCTCCGTGCTTTGCATTCAATAACTGGAGGACCTTTCGGCCCCCATTGTTAGGTTGTGCGGGGGCGTGTAGTAGACCGCCGCTCGACTCTCGAAATGTCGTCCGATCTCCGTTGGAACTGTCCAATCAGTGGCTTGCCTTCGATTCGCTCACAGGCCTTGAGCGAGCTTCGCTGTTGTTATATCTGAGATGTTCAGCTACCTGAGCGAGGATCACGTTTATGCTCATTTGCTCCTCGAGTGTTTCCATTGCGACTGCTCCAACCTTCACTTGCGTGGTGTCTGCCTCATGCTTGCTTTCGAGACTGGTGATGCTTAACGCTGCTTTCCATTCCTCAAGCGTCATCATCAGTGGCATCGCGTGCTCGTTGGGCAGGTTCTGGTTACCCGAATGATCTTGCACCTCAAGGTCGCTCGTTACCGCGTCATGGTCAACAGGCCAGCTTGGACGAACTCGTAGTCACCTTGGCTGTACGCGTTAAGACAGTAAAGTCCGAAGTTAGCAATATTGTACTCTATCCATTCCTGTCGTGGGGTAGGTATCCCTGTATCTTGTTATTGTTGCCATGACCTCGCACCTCTACCATGCAAATACAACATCACAATCGTGGTAAAGATGGGGCTCTGTTTTGCAGTAAGCACCCAACGTTCTGACGACACAGGTGTGTCACACCGCCTCATGGCGGTTATCACTGCTACTAAGGCCAACCGCCTGCAATTGCACAGTAACCTGGGGCCCTATACCGGCACATCTCCTCCTCGTCCTCCTCCCCCTCCTCCTCCTCCTCCTCCTCCTCCTCCTCCTCCTCCTCCTCCTCCTCCTCCTCCTCCTCCCCCTCCTCCTCCTCCTCCTCCTCCTCCCCCTCCTCCTCTTCCTCCTCCTCCTCCTCCTCCTCCTCCTCCTCCCCGCCTCCTGCCCTGTTCTCTCCTCCCACTTCCCCAGACGTCCTCGCTTTCTGATGACCCCGGGGGCTCCGAGAGCGGCCCCCAGAGGCCGAAATCGCGGCACAGCGCCCAGATTGGAGGCATCGGGGAATCGAGGAACTCGAGGAAGTCGAGGGAATCGAAGAGTCGAGGAATCGAGGAACTCGAGGAAGTCGAGGGGCCGAGGAAGTGGAGGAGTCGAGGAATCGAGAAACTCGGTGAAGTCGAGGAAATCGAAACAAAGCGAAGAAATCGTGGGAGATCTGCCGCCGTCCCGCGGGGCCCAGGTTGGGGCCACCTCGCGGGCCAGCTCATCCTGCTCCTCCCGCCTCCTCCTCCTCCTCCTCCTCCTCCTCCTCCTCCCTTCTCCTCCTCCTCCTCCTCCTCTTCCTCCTCCCTCCTCCCTCCTCCTCCCTCCTCCCTCCTCCTCCTCCTCCTCCCTCCTCCTCCTCCTCCATTCCTTTTCCCTATCGATAACTTCTCCCTGTCGCACCCCGAGGCCAGTTTTTAGTGCGGGCTGGGCGTTTCGCCTGAGACCTCCTCACCATTTATGACTCGGAAGCTTAAACATGGGCCACAGCTTCAAAAATAGAGGGCGGGTCGTGTTCAGAATGTGGCTCTCGCCTTAGCGCCGCGCACACCCATTCTAAACAATTGCAAAAGCTTCACGGATTGAGGATCACCCGTTTCCAAAACGTGGCTCTCGCCTTCGCGCCGCGCACATTCTAAAATGTGCAAGAGCTTCACGGATTGAGGATCACCCGTTTTCAAAATGTGGCTCTCGTTTTAGCGCCGCGCACATTCTTCTGACCATTTGCAAGAGTTTCAAGGATTGAGGGCGGCTCCTTTTCAAAATGTGCTCTCGCCTGAGCGCCGCGCACATTCGTTAATACAATGTGCAAGAGTTTCACGGATTCCCGCGATCAGCGTACCAGAAATGGTGTTTTGGAAGGATTCTGGATTTTGCGGGTGCAACAGTTGCGTTGATTGACGGTGTTGAAGTCCCAAGAATGGCGTTCTGGAACGATCCAGGGTCGTCAAGACGCAACAGTCAGGTTGATCCGTGGCGTTGAAGCCCGAGAACAAGGTTTTGGCATGCTTCCAGGTTTCCAAGCGGTTGTTTTCCAACGAGGCAGATCCCTCACTGGAAATGAACCGTTGTAGGGGCCCTACGAAGGGGGAGCTTGGAGGGAGGGTGTATTCCAGCATCGTTGATGGCTCTTGGGTTTACACTGGTCCTCCTCCTCCTCCTCCTCCTCCTCCTTGCTCCTTCCCCTCCTCCTTCTCCTCCTCCTCCGCCCTCCTCCTCCTCCTCCTCCTCCTCCTCCTCCTCCTCTCCTCCTCCTCCTCCTCCTCCTCCTCCTCCTCCTCCTCCTCCTCCTCCTCCTCCTCCTCCTCCTCCTCCTCCTCCTCCTCCTCCTCCTCCTCCTCCCCAGGAGAGGGCGACCGGGCCGGAGCCCGCCGTGGGGGCCTGCCACCTCGAGGAGCGTCCGGACGCAGAAGCTCGAGGCGGAGCGCTCGAGCGTGAAGCCGGCGGGGGCGTCCACGTGGAGCTCGCCCTGCTCGGGGGTGGGGCGGAGGAGGGAGGAGGGAGGAGGGAGGAGGAGAAAGGGGGCGGGAGGAGGAGGAGGAGGAGGAGGAGGAGGAGGAGGAGGAGGAGGAGGAGGGGGAGGAGGAGGAGGGGGAGGATGAGGAGGAGGAGGAGGAGGAGGAGGAGGAGGAGGAGGACGAAGCGGAGGAGGGACGAGAGATGGTACCGAGGGAGGAGGGAGGACCAGGAGCAGGAGCAGGAGGAGGAAGAGGAGGCTGATGATGGTGATGATGATAATGCTGATGCTGATGCTGATGCTGATGCTGCTGCTGCTGATGATGATGATGATGGTGATGATGTTGATGATGCTGATGATGCTGCTGATGATGATGATGTTGATGCCGAAAACGATGAACATGATGCTGCTAATATTGCTGCTGCTGATGATGAGGAGACAGATGGGAAGGAAGAGGACGATACTTGTGAGGAGGCATTATCGAGGGGGAGGAGGAGGAGGAGGAGGAGGAGGAGGAGGAGGAGGAGGAGGAGGAGGAGAGAAGAAGGAGGAGAAGGAGGAGGAGGTAGGAAGGAGGAGAGGAGGAGGAGAGAAAGGGGGCGGGGAGGAGGAGAGGAGAGAAGGAGGAGAAGGAGGAGGGGGAGGAGGAGGAGGAGGAGGAGGAGGAGGAGGAGGAGGAGGAGGTTGAGGACGAGGGAGAGAGGATAAAGAGGACGAGGAAGATGTCGACGAAGGTCTTTGAGGGGCCGCGGAGGGGTTTGCGGGCTCCCAGCAACCACACGCCCGCGGGATGATAGACCCGCGCGCGGAGGAGGAGGCGGCGGTGCAGGGATGAGCAAGGAGGAGGACGAGAAGGTCTACGATGACACGGATGGGGGGCTGGAGGAGGAGGAGGAGGAGGAGGAGGAGGAGGAGGAGGAGGAGGAGGAGGAGGAGGAGGAGGAGGAGGAGGAGGAGGGTGAGGAGGTGGAGGAGGAGGGAGTGGAGGAGGAGGAGGAGGAGGAGGAGGAGGAGGAGGAGGAGGAGAGGAGGAGGAGGACGGGAGAGAAGGGGGCAGCTGGGACAAACATGAAGGCAGAGGGGGAAGAGGAAGGTGGGAGGACTGTGCGCGACGCCAAAGAGGGAACCGCACTTCGACACGGAGCCGCCCTCTACCCGTGAAGCCCTTGCGAACTTTTGAAGCGAATGTGCGCGACGGCCAAATAAGAACCACATGTTTGAACGCCCCCCCCATCCATCCGTGAAGCTCCTGCAAACAACTATGACGAATGTGCACGGCTCTCCAACGAGAGCCAGTTTGAAACGGATCCGCCGTCCATATGTGAAGCTCTTGCACGCTTTTAAGACGAATGTCCGCGGCGCTAAGGCGAGGACCACACTTTGAACACGACCCGCCCTCCATCAGCGAAACTCGTGAAAACTTGTGAGACGAATGTGAGCGGCGATCAAAGCGAGAACCACAACGTGTAAACGACCCGCCCTCCCTCCATGAAACTCTCGAAGGCTTTCAAAGCGAATGTGCACGGAGCTGGAAGGCGAGAACGACATTTTGTAAACGGCCCGCCTTCCATCCGTGAAGCTCTTGCAAGCTCATGAAACGAGTGTGCGCGGCGCTGGAAGGCGAGAACCACATCCTGTGAACGGCCCGCCTTCCGTCCGTGAAACTGCTGCATCGTCGAAGCTTCAAGATCCTGCATTGCGCTTGGGTCTCAACAAGAAGCGCCTGGCCCGCCCAACCGACACATGTCGGGGTGAGACAGGGAGGACTTATCTGCCGGGAGGGCAAGACCAGGAGGGGGATGAAGGACGAGGTGGATGAGGACGACGACGAGCACGACGGCGAATGCTTGAGGGGCGGCGGCGGGGTCAGCGGGCTCCCGGCCGCCGAAAGCCCGCGGGAGAGACCCGCGCGCGGTGGAGGAGGAGGAGAAGGAGCAGGAGCATGAGGAGGAAGGGGGGGGAGGAAGGAGCAGGAAGTAGCAGGGCGAGAAGGAAGAGGACTGCGAGGACGATGACGATGACGATGATGATGATGATGATGATGATGATGATGATGATGATGATGATGATGATGATGATGATGATGATGATGATGATGGTGCTGCTGATGATGCTGCTTATGACGGCTATGGTGATGATAATGATGATACTGATGCTGACGATGGTGATGGAGGGAGGAGGGAAAGGAGGAGGAGAAGGAGGAGGAAGAGGATCATGAAGAGGAGGGGAAGGAGGAGGACGGGGGAGGAGGGGGCAGCGGGGGGAAAGATGAAGGCAGAGGTGGAGGGCAAAGAAGGGAGGAGTGGGAAGGAGGAGAGATGAAGGGGGAGGGACGAAGAGGAGGATGAAGAGGAGGAGGAGGAGGACCACTGTAAGCCCAAGACGCGTCAACGATGTTGCAATATCACTCTCTCCAAATTTCTGTTTTTCATCGTGCCCTATCAGATGTGATGTTCATTGCGGGAAATGCCCCATTGCAAGACAAACGCCTGAGAAACCTCACTCGTGCCGGAGCACCATTCCTGGGACTTCAGCGTCGCGAATCACTGTGTCGGTTGCGTCTTGATGATCCTGAATCTTGCCAGGACGCTGTTCCTGGGACTTCAACACAGCGACTCAACGTAACTGTTGCGTTTTGACCATCCGAAAGCCTGCCAGAACACAATTCGTGGGACTGCGGCCATGCGAATCCTTGGCGCTATGGCGAACTTGCGGCGCTCAAGCGAGAAACACAATTTGAAACGGAACCGATCCCCATCCGTAAACCCCCTGCGAACTTTTAAAACGAATGTCCACGGCGCTAGAACGAAGACCGAATTTTGAAAACCCTCTGCCCTCCATCCGTGAACCTCCTGTCAACTTTAAGACGAGTGTACGTGACGCTGAATCGAGACCAACAACTTGGAAAGGACCAACCCTTCTTCCGTGAAGCGATTGCGGAAACCAAAACATGTTCGTGGCGCACAGGCGAGAAACCCGCCACCCATCCGTGAAGCTGTTGCATGGTTCAAGCCTCAGGGTCATACATGGGTGGGGAAGTCTCAGGCAAATTGCCCGGCCCGCCATACCGCCACGTCTGGTGTTGCGACTGGGATGGGTTATGTTAAGGAAAGAGTGGCGGGTCAGGAAGAGTGGGGGAAGGAGGAGGAGGATGAGGAGGAGAAGAGGACGCGGAGGAGGCAGGACGAGAAAAAGGAGGAGGAGAAGGAGGAGGAGGAGGAGGAGGGGGAGGAGGGGAGAAACGAGGAGGAGGAGGCGGAGGAAAAGGAGGAGGAGAGGGGAGGAGGAGGAGGAGGAGGAAGGGGAAGGGGAAGGGAGGAGGAGGAGGAGGAGGAGGAGGAGGAGGAGGAGCAGCAGGGAGGTGGAGGGGGAGGAGGGCGCGGCGTGCCGCCCCCTCGCCCTCCCCCTGGGTGGATCGTCCTCGGCCTCGCCGACCTCGCCGTTCGCGTCGAGCCGTCCTCCGGGGGCCGATGCGGAAGGCCAGTGGCGGGGGCGGCCGTCCAGGCCAGGAGGGCCCCCTCCCCCATCGCTGACAGGGGGGGGGGGGAGAGGGCGGGATGGCGGGAGGGAGAGGAGTTTAGAGGACCGGAGGAGGCACGCGGAGAGGGGATAGGGGGAGGGAGGAGGAGGAGGGGACGCATGGGGGAATGAAGGAGGGCGGGGGAAGGAGATAGGAGGCCGAGAGGAGGCGACTGGGGAATGCCGAGCAGAGGGAGTGAGGCGGTGCGACTTCGAGTTTGGGAGATCTAGAGAGGACTTGAGATGTATAGCTCTTGTTTTAGAGAGCGGAGAGAGATTTAGAGTATATTTCGAGGAGGAGGAGAGGCGGAGGAGGAGGGGAGGACGGACAGACCCCCTACTCGAAAGGATGAAGGAAGGAGGAGTGTGGGAGGAGGAGGAGGAGAGGAGGAGGAGGAGGAGGAGGAGGAGGAGGAGGAGGAGGAGGAGGAGGAGGAGGAGGAGGAGGAGAGGAGGAGGATGTGGGTGAGTGGGAGGAAGAGGAGGATGAGGTGGAGGAGGCGGAAGAGGAGGAGGCGGAAGAGGAGGAGGAGGCGGAGGAGGAGGAGGAGGAGGCCCTCCCTCCTCGTCCTCCCCACGCCTCCTGCGCTTCCTCCCCCCTCATCTTCCTCCTCGGATGAGCACCGACCTCCCAATCGCCCCCCCGTGTGACTGCATCGGGGTTCTCTGCCTGCCTGCCGTCCTCCGCTGCGGTGGGCGACCCTCCACTATCCCCCGCTGGCTCTCCTCCTTTCCCTCCCTTCCTTCTCCCCGCAGACGGCGCTTGTACACCGACATGTCTGGACATGCCTGGCCAGGGTCCAAGATGACCCATGCCAGGCGGGTTGGGGGTGCATCGATGAGCTGTGCGCAATCTCCCCGTCACTATCTCCCTATGTCCCCCTCTTCTTCCGCAGGGACCGGGTCGTTGCCAGGACTGCAGCTTGCATACTGTGCATACTATGCGATGCACTGCCTGTGCCGCCTCCTGCAGGGCGAGTGCTTCGGCAGTGACAGAAAAGACACTTACAGACCATAATGTGATGCAGTTTCCTCTTCCCTCGGTTTCCCTACCCTCTCTTCCTTCACCTCACCTCCCTCCCTCCTTCAAGTCCGTTCCAATCCATTCCTGGGCACCCAAACCTTCGGAGTCGCAGCTGCGGCGCCAAAGCGGGAGGCCCGAATCGGGAGTTATCACTGCCCCAACTGCCCTGAAAACTCGGACCTCTGACATGGCTTTCCCACCTCACGAATATTAGGTCGGGCATGTCCTCCTACAGGCGGATTTTGGAAGAACCATTAACCATAACCAAACAAGTTCCAACGATAGTCAGAAATGGTAGAAAAATCATCCCCAGGCTATGTTTAGATTATCTTTGAATCTTTCTCCTGTAGAGGGACATGCCAGACGTATCACCAATGAGGGATAGCACAACTGCTGAGCTGGAGCACCCCGCAAGCCCTGCCGCACGCTCTGCGCGCGCAAGCCGAGGCTGTCGCTGGCATCTCGGGGTGACGCAACCGAGCGCTGACTGCATCGGACCTCGGCTTCGGGGCGAGCTCCCCTCCTCCCCCTCCCCCTCCACCCCCTCCTCCTCCTCCTCTTCCTCCTCCTCCTCCTCCTCCCCCACCCCTTTTCCTCATACATAACTCCTCCCTGTCGCGCCCCGAGACGTGTCGGTAGGGAAGGCCAGGCGTTCCGCCCGAGACATCCTCACCACGTAGGGTCCTGGAGCTTAGAAGTTGGCAACAGTTTCACAGATGGAAGGCGGGCGGTTTTCAGAATGTGGCTCTCGCCTTGGCGTCGCGCACGCTCGTCTGAACATTTGCGGGAGCTTCACGGATGGAGGACAACTCCTGTTCAAACTGTGGCCCTCGCCGTAGCGCCGCGGGCATTCGTCTCAACAATTTAAAACGTTTGACGGATAGAGGGCGGGCCGTTTACACTGGTTCTCGCTTCAACGCCGCGCACATTGGTTTTAAACGTGCGCGAGAGTTTCACGGATGGAGGGCGGGCCGTCTTCAAAATGTGGCTCTCGCCTTGGCGCCGCGCACATTCGCTTGAACAAGTAATGAGCTCCACGGAAGGGGTCCAGCTGCTTTTCGAAATGTGGTGTTCGCCTTGCGCCGCGCCTAGATCTTCACGGATGGAGGGCAGCTCCTGTTCAAAATGTGGCTCTCGCCTCAGCGCCGCGCGAATTCGTCTTAAATGTGTGGAAGAGTTTCACATCTGAAGGGCGGCTCTTGATTAACAGGTGGTTGTCGCCCCAGCGCCGCGCACAATCGTCTTGACAGTCTACAGCACTTGAGCATATTCTTATGCTTGGCGTCCCAGGGATGGTGTTCCGGCACGGAGTAGGATTATCAGGGCGCACCAGTCACGTTGATTCTCGGTGCTGCAATCCCAAGAACGGTCTTCTGGCACGATGCAGTATCGTCAAGCCGCAGAATTCAAGCTAATTCGCAGCGTTGAAAATCCAAATAGTGGTGTCGTGGCATGTCGCGGATTCTCAGACGATTGCCTTGCGACGGGGACTTGCAGCAGTGAGCATGAAGTTTTCTAGGGACCTATGAAGAGTGATTTGAGGGAGGGTTGATTGCATCATCGTTGATGCCCCCCCTCCCTCCTCCCTCCGCCTCCCTCATCCTTCTCTTCCTCCTCCCTCCTCCTCCTCCCTCCTCCTCCTTCTCCTCCTCGTCCCCCTCCTCCTCCTCCTCCTCCTCCTCCTCCTCCTCCTCCGCCCCCTCTCCTCATCCTCCTCCTCCTCCCTCCTCCCGCCTCCCTCCTCCCTCCTCTCTCCTCCTCCTCTCTCCTCCCTCCTCCCTCCTCCCTCCTCCCTCCTCCCTTTTCCTCCCTCCTCCTCCTCCTCCTCCTCCTCCTCCTCTTCAGTCCTCTCTCCTCCTCATGTTTCCTCTCTCCTCTTTCTGCTCCTCCCTCCTTCCCTCGCTCCTTCCTCTCTCCTTCACCCCCGTACATAAACACAGGCCGCTAAGGGGTGGACCATTTCTAGAGGAACCCCCCTGGCCGTCCCACGATCACCAGTCAGATGTCGGGCGGACACCGAAAAATGATAAGCCACCCTCCTCGTTCACCACCTTGGCAAACAAAGGGGTGGAACTAGTTAGACGATCTGACACCTACCTCAGAGGCAAGAAGGCGTGACAAGCATGAGAAATGGGAATTGGCTGGCCGTGCTACTCGATCACACCAAGGGTAGAAATCTTCAGGCGCCCGAATCAGCCGCCCCACTCATTATGTCACAAAGGAAGCCCCAGTAGGGAGAATTCTTCGGGCAGCATGCCTGTGCAAAAGGACTTGAAGTCTATCCTTCACTCCCATCCTCCTCTCCTCCTCCTCCCTCTTCCTCCTCCTCCTCCTCCTCCTCCTCCTTCTCAAGCCATGGGGGCCCAAACGTTGCGCCCCTCGCCGCGAGGGTAATGCACGCATGATGGCGGCCCCGGCTCGAGGACGGCATACCTGCAGTACCGCAACATAAGGGGCTATCACAGTCGGCGTGGAGCTCGCAGGGGCGCGCAGCGAGATCTCCAGCGTGAAGGCTGAGAAGGGAGCCGCTGGCGGTGGTCGTGGGCAAGGGCTCCAAGGTGAGACTCAACAGCTTCTCGTGCACCGACCACTTCTTGGACGGCCTCCCGAAGACGCTGGCGCAGGCCCACGCAACGAAGAGCGAGCAGACGAACACGGACGCCCTGCCGAAGACTGGGCTGGAGTCCAACGCGAGGGATCGCGTGCAGATGACCACGGTCGCCACGCTGAAGACGAGGCAGGAGTCCAACGCAATGAATCGCGGGCATATGCTGGACAAGGACGCGCTGCCGAAACCTGGGCCGAAGTCCAACGCGGCGGTCCGCGAGCAGATGACGCAGCTGAAAGAGATCAAGACTGCCGCTTGTGAGGACGTCTTGGCGGCGCAGGGTGTGCCCGTCCCCACGGGTGTTCGACACCAGCTCTGACGAGTACGAAAGCGAGGCGCCACCGGCGGTGAGTTCTGAGAACGCCTTGCAGAGTCATAAAACACCGGCGGGCGCCATCGGCACCCTCCCTCCACAGCTCGATCATTGAGGAGCTGATCGTCAAGAGCTCCCAGCGGGAGATGGACGACAAGGGCCAGATCACCAGCGACACTGGCCAGTGGCATGGCACGTCCCGCGGCGCCATCGACAACAACAAGAGCCTTGTCGACGGCATGCTGGGCCTCACCGAGCAAGCAAAGATGCGCACGAACGTCAGCACGATCCACGACTGCTTCCAGACGAAGCTGCGGTCCCTGGAGGAGCGCTGCAGAAGCAGCGAAACATGGAGCAGTTCGAGAAGGTGCAAGCCTGTGTGGCCCGATGCAAGCGATCTCGACGAAAGGGATCACCGATGACCTCGAGCTGAAGACCACGGACAATTTCAAGACGAAGTTGCGGTCCCTGGAGGGAGCGATGTCCGCAGTGACGCAGGAAGCCCCAAGAGGCCCTTAAGAGGCCCCAAGAGGCCCCCAAGAGCCCTCAGGAGGCCCCCAAGACGCCCCCAAGAGGCCCCCTAAGAGGCTCTACGAGGCCCCCAAGAGGCCTCTTGGAGGCCTCTTGGAGGCCCCCAAGAGGCCCCCACGGGCCGGCGGAATGAGCGAAGCGATTCAATAAAAAATGCTAAAACATCGTTCCCATACTATGTTTTGACAACTTTTGGACGTTCCTCTTGTAGAGGGACAGGCCCGACTTAATTAACCCTGCAAGGCGGAAAGCTTCGAAGCGATGTGTATGATCCAGCAGGTCGTCACTGGCACCGCAGCGGATGACTGCTACGTGAAGCGGGGGATGGGCGCGGAGGCAGGACGAGGGCCCGCGTCGGGCCTGGCAACCCGACCCCCCGTCTGCCCCTCCTCCTCCTCTTCTGTCACCGCCGCCGCACCGTGAGGCCAGCCTTGGAACGAGGTGGACAAGGGCAGTGGCGCCTACGGGCACGCCGCTGCAGCGACCCCTGCCCTGGCAGGTGAGCAATACCTGCCGCCGCGCTCTCCGTGCCGCCCTCGTTCTCTCCCTCGGCCTCGCGGCCGCGCTTCCCGCGCCGCGCTCCCGGTGCCGCCCTCCCTCTCTCCCTCGGCCTCGCGGTCCCGCGGCCTCGCGGCCGCGCGCCCCGCGGTGAGCCACACAGCGCGTTCTTGAGTTTCCGCGTGGACGGCGTGCGCCGCCGTCGGGCCGCTGGGGCGGCCGGCGCCCCTCTGAGGTCGGGGCCTCTGGCACGTCGCCTGGTCGGGGGCCCCCGTGCCGCTGGGCAGTGCAGGGCCTGCCCTCGAACCTTCGCTGCCGGACGGTCCAGCCTCGTCCGCCCAGAGTGCTCCTTCCGTTCCTCCTCCTCCTCCTCCTCCCGCCTCCCATCTTCCCTTCCTCCTCCTCCCTCGTCACTCCTCCTCCCCTCCTCCTTTCTCTCCTCCTCCTCCTCCCCCTCTTCTCCTCCTCCTCCTCCTTCCTCCTCCTCTCACGTTCCCTCCTCACTCTCCTCCTTCTCACGTCCAACCTCCTCCACCTCCTCCCTCATCCTCCTCACTCCTCCTCCTCCTCTCCTCCTCGTCCAATCCTCCCTCGTCCAACTCCTCCACCTCCTCGTCCAACTCCCTCCCCTCCTCCGCCTCCACTCCTCCTCGCTCCTCTCTTCTCCTCCTCCGTTACTCTCCTCCACGTCCAACTCCTCCACCTCCTCCTCTCCTCCCCCTCCTCCTCCTCACTCCTCCTCCGTCCTCTCCTCCTCGTCCAACTCCTTTACTTTCTTGTCCAACTCCTCCACCTCCTCGTCCAACTCCTCCATCTCCTCCTCCTCCTCCTCCTCCTCCTCCTCCTCTTCCTCCTCCTCCTCCTCCTCGTCCTCCCAGACTCTCCCCCTCCCCCAGCCACTCCCAGGGGCCACGGGCGCGGCTGGCGTCCCAAGTCCTGGCACCGTGTAGTGCGGCGTGAAGAGGATGGCGACGGGCAGGTACTCGGTCGTGTCGCTCGCGTTCGCTGCGGGTCGCGGCCGCGCTCTCTCTCTCTCTCTCTCTCTCTCTCCCTCTCTCTCTCTCTCTCTCTGTCTCTCCTCTCTCTCTCTCTTTTTTTTTTTCTCTCTCTCTCTCTCTCTCTCTCTCTCTCTCTCTCTAGAGAGAGGAATAACAACCATCATAAACATAAACTTTCGCTAGTCCGCGCGGATGTCTTGGATCCGCGCTGGACCCCCCCTCCCCGGCGCGCGGAGCGCGACAGGGGCGGCGCCAGAGGCGCCGCTGGGGGGGACCCAGCGCGGATCCAAGGAATCCGCGCGGAGCGCCAGAACAATATGCTTCTGTTCTTTTCCCTCGGCTCCAGATCCAGGAGGGTCACTGGCCACCAGCGGCGAACGTGTCCATGTCCGCGCCCTCGCGGTCTGGACTCCGAGGCGCAATCCCGTGGATGCGCGGTCGCATGGGCACTCTCTGCGCGGGTATCCGCGAGAGAACGCCTTGTATTTACCGACGGGGGGAGCGGGGACAGAGGGAGCACGCGAGGGAGGAGGGGCACGCACGAGGGGAGCGAGGCAGAGGAGGAGCAGAGCCAGGATCAGCATGGCGACGCATACCAATAGAGGCCAGTACAGTCAGCCCGTGTCATAAGGACGCGCGATGAGGATGCAAGGGCCTTGGAAGGCCATGTCGACACCATTCGAGCGGGGCGCGGCCAGCGAAAGCGGCCAAGGATGGGCCGAAGGGGCAAGGATGCAAGGGTGCCCTTGGGAAGCCTGCCCATCATTATTATGCGGGTTGGCTGTATGGTCCAGTATGCCGCTACCCGCTGTTTGAAGCAGACCCTGGGCAGCAGCAGGAGGAGCAGGAGGTGGGAGAGGATGTCGGCTGGAGGTTGCCAATCTTCCCCACCCTTCTCCTCGCCTCCCGCACCCTTTGCAAGGCGCCAGGCCGCCTACGGCGTGGGAGGTCGCTGTCAAGTTCGAAGACACCAGCTCGAAGGTGTGGACCGTGAAGGACTCGAACGCGAGGGACGCCTGGCCCGCGTACCACAACCTTCTGCCGCACTTTCTGCTCGTGTCCGGTGGTGAAGTTGGGTCGGGCATGTCCCCCATACAGGCGGATCTTGGACAAATAATGCAGTCCCCAAACTGATCAAACAGAGTCAAAAATCATAGAAAAATCGTTCCCATACTATTTCTCTACATTTTTGAATATCCCTCCTGTACAGGGACATGCCCGACAGGGCCGCCGCCCATTCCCAGTGCGAGGGCTGAGGACTCCACGATGGGGTCCGAAAAGATGGGGTCGGGGGATCGCGCCGAATCGCCGATGCATCGCCGATGCTTCGGCGATTCAACGGCGTCGTCGGCGATGCATCGGCGACGGCGGCGCAGCGAAACTCGGGCTGAACATCGATCCGCATCGCCGATGCACCGAATCGGTGGGGCGCGATCCTCCGACGGGGAAGCCAACACGGCACCGATACTGCTGCTCCCCAGATCTCTCCCCGGGGCCCCACGGCGCGCTCTGACCAGAAGCTCGCGGTCAATCCAGCCGTGGCGACGAGGGCCTCCTGGGAGGCCCAGGAAGGCGAGCACGAGGCAAGGGTAGCGGCATCGGCACCTTTTCCTCCGAGAAGTTTCGGGGCGGCCCCTTCAGGGGCAACGATGGGGGGGTCCAGCTCAGGGGAGGAAACGCCGGCCTGGAAGTGGCGATGCAGCGACGCACGGTCCTGGGCGCTATCGGGCCCCCGTTGGCGATGCATGGGCAATTGCGGGTCGATGCCTGAGCTCATCTCCCCCCCTTTCGTTACTCCTGACTAGGGGAACAAAAAGTGACATAAACATAAAAACTCGGAGGTCCGCGCGGATTTCTCGGATCGGCGCTGGACCCCCCTCCCTGGCGCGCGGAGCGCGCCAGGGGCAGCGCCGGAGGCGCCGCCGGGGGGCCCCAGCGCCGATCCGAGAAATCCGCGCGGACCTCCGAGTTTTTATGTTCATGTCACTTTTTGTTCCCCCAGGTCCCCCCCTCTCGTTGCTCATGACGTCTCCTCCACGCGAGTGCCCCCCACGGGCAGCGGCCGCGGAGGCGGCGCCGACGCTCCCACACGACGCCCCGGAAGGCAGCGCTGCCACTGCGGGCAGCGGTCCCCGGGGGCGCTTTGCCCGTGGCCCACGGGCGGATCGTTCGGAGGCATTTTGTTAGGGATGTCTCGAGTGAGACGCTGATTGTTCAACGAAGATGTTAAAAACACGTGGGTTTTTCAGCAGTTTCGCTTCTTGGGCCATCTTGGGGGTCATCCGAGATCGCTCCGAAAAGATGCCTTGCCAGAGCCGCCCTCGCGCCACGGAAACGTCGCGACGGACCCTCCCGGGCCGCTTCCGGCCTTCAGGGGCCCCTGGCCTGGCCCCGGGACCCTCACGGCGCGGCTCGGGGTGAAAACCTGGCCTCGGGGAGGAAATCGGGAGTTCCGCGGACCCCGTTCGGAGGCGTCGGGTGTCTGGGCCTGCCGGGAGACTTCTGCTGCATCGCCCTGCCATGGAGGCCAGGGGCACTGAGACGCGGAGGGGGGGATCGAGAGGAGGGACGACGCGGGCGACGACCCGCTCCAGCGGGCTGGGGGGAGCCTGGAGCGGGAGCAGCGACGACGTGGCG